TTGAAAGCCTTTGCATAGTCAGTAAAGCACAGGTACACATCTTTCTGGTATTCTCTGCTTTTAACCAAGATCCATCTGATGTCGATAATGATATCCCTCGTTCCACATCTGAATCCGGCTCGAACTTCTGAAAGTTGTCTGTCAATGTATGGTTGCAGTGATTTCTGTATTACCTTTAGCAAAACTTTACTCACATGGAAGTCCTGGTGTGGCACTGTGGGCTAATGCGCTGGACTCCAAGGTCAGTTCCAACTGCAAGGTTGACAGTTCAAATTCACCAGTCGATCCTAAGAAACCCTGTATGCTATGAGTTGGAACAGTGTGTATAAGGGTTCTGATTTTCTCATATCGCCATCAATGCTTTGTTTCATCCCGGTTTTATTTTTGCTCTTAGATTTTGTAAGTACTGTTGAATTGGGATTTTAAATTTTATTTCCTTGATCTTACTGAGCTTGAGCATTTTTCATATGGTGATTCATCATTCCTGTTTCTAATTTTTGAAAATGCCTGTTCATGTCTTTTTCTGTTGGATTGTTGGTCTTATTTTGATTCATAGAAATTTGTATATTCTGGGCACATCTTTTGTCAGTTTTATTTGATACAAATACATTTTCTCTGATTGTGGCTTGCCTATCGTTCTCTTTGGACAGACTCTAAAATTTTTGACTTTGCATTTAAATGTTTAATCCATCTGCATCTGAGTCGTGTATTTATTGAGGTAGAAATCCACTATCTGTTTTCCCCACCCCATCAGTTCTGGCATATATTAGGTTTCCATACATGTGTGGGTGGACTTCTGGTGTGGCACTGTAGCATCAGCACTAGATTGCGAATCACAAGGTCGGCAGCCCAAACCCATCAGCTGCTCTTTGGATTCCCTATAAAGGGTCACAGTGAGTCAGAACCAGCTCTGCGGCACTTAACGACAACAATAATATGTATGGGAATGTTGGAAGAGTTTCTCTGATCCTCCCTATAAATTCACTGTAGGATAAGCGAGGTTGGCAGTTCAAACCCACCAGTCACTCCACTGGAGAAAGATGAGACTTTTTGCTCCTGGAAAGATTTACAGCTTTGGAAACCTTACACAAGGTCTTATGAGTTGGAATCAAGTAGCTGGCAGTGGGGTGTTTTTGTTTTTAAGGTATTGGTATTTTTGTTAATTTGGGATAAATTGGTATCTGTAGGATATTCCTGGTGTGGTGCTGTGGGTTAATGTGTCAGACTGTAAAGTGGATTTGAACTGCGAGGTCGGTGGTTTAACCTCACCAGATACTCCTTTGGAACCAACTCAAAGACACTTAACAACAATCTAGAAACAGTAGTCCTGGTATAATGTTATGGGATAAGTATTGAACTGCTAACCACAGGGTTGGTGGTTCAAACCCACCAGCCACTTCTTGGAACACCAACCCTGTGGTTAGCAGTTCAATACTTATCCTATAGAAGTGGAGAGAACAAGTATTCTTTTCTTGTTCCTCATTTTAAAGGGAGTGTTTTCAATATTTACAATTTTATGCAAGTCATGTGAGTTTTTGATAGTTGCTTTTAATCATGTTAAAGGAATTTCCTTCTCTTCCAATTTTTCTAAGAGCTTTTATCATGAATGGCTACTAATGTCTATTGGGTTCTTTTTTGTTCTTGAGGTTGTAATTTTTTTTTCCTTGTTAGTGAGATGAATGTCATTAATATATTTTCTATTATAATCTATTTTATTCACTCCTGGAATAATCCCAACTTTGTCATGATACATACTTTAAAAAAAAAAAAAATCTGTTCAACAGTGCTTTGCTTGTAGATGCAAATTAATTTCAATATAAGAAGGTGGAGAAATAAAATAATGGTTGGCAATAAAATCTTTCCCAAGTAACTTTGCTACAGGATGTAAGGAAAATCTAGTTATTAAATGTAGGTAGCATCTTGATGTAGTAAAACAAACACAGGAGAGCTAAACTCTAATCTTATATTTTTGCCTTTGAGTTCACAATTCAGTTGACTTTTGTGGATCTTATTTTTTTCTTAGTGTTTATCTCTGAGCCTTAGTAACCACGTGACTTCACTTGCTTTGCTATTAATCCATCAACATCCAGTAAACATTCACTTATAACATACTAAGGACAGGGCAAAATCTGTTCCTTCCAATTCTGTTCTATTGAAACAGAGAAACAATTACAAAACAGAATGAGTGATACATCTTATCACCCTGGTGGTATTGGAAGGAGGCAGGGAGCTTTTTGGGTGGGGAGAAGAAAGTTCAGGTGGAATGCAGTACTTCACTTGAGTCTTGGGATGGTAAGCAGTTACTGATCTCCATGGACCTCATTTGTATTCTTGTTTGTTAGCAGAGGGATTGCACTAGTTGTTTTTCAGTGACTCTTCTAACTCTGAAATTGTGTCTCCTCGACTCTATGACTACATCACCCTTTTTGTTGTTGTTGTTGTTAAGTGCCGTAGAGTTGGTTTTGACTCATAGTACCCCCATGCTGGGTTTCCAAGGAACAGCTGGTGAATTTGAACCACCAACCTTGTGGTTCAAACCAACCTTGCAATCTAATGCTTTGTTTCACAGTGCCACACCCTTTTAGGTCTTCAGAAATTAACTTCAAGCTTTATTAAACATTTGTGTTCCTACCTCTAGGCTATGGCCCTTGGGATCTTGTGTGCCATAGGCTTCGAGATGTGAATGGCATAAGGGATTTCATCCTGGTTCTATTTTATTAAGTAAAGTCAACTTATTTCACTTCTAGATTACTAGTGATATTGACATATAAATTGTTACACAGAACTAACGTATTAACTTAGTTGTATTTTTATAAAATTGCTGTATTTTTAAAAACTAGATTTTTTAAATTCCAGGCTCTGTAATTTCTAAGCACATTTTATTTTTATGTCTTATTTCAGTGCTGGACCCAAAGGAGACAACATTTATGAATGGAGGTCAACTATATTGTGACTGCCAGGATCTGTCTATGAAGGAGGGGTGTTCTTTCTTGACATTACCTTTTCACCAGACTATCCGTTTAAACCTCCTAAGGTCAGTATGAAATATTCATCCATTTTTATCAATAAGTGTTATTTATGGACATTAATTAAAACTACTTATTTATAGCAACAAGGAGTTTGCCATCACAAAATTCTATTATATTTTCATTTCATTTTTCCATGAACTTTTGAAGCCCCCTTTTATATATATACTTGTTTCTATTAACATAGTTTCCAGGGCTGTTTGTGTGTTATAAAGAAATTGAATGATGAAAATTTAAACATTTATTCTCCCACTCAAACACTTTACTGATACTTCATTGTTTTTTCTCCTTTGCTCCATATTGTGGTACACAAGGGGGGGGGGGGCTTCAAAAAGTTGTGGAAAATAGAATGAAAAGATAATGAAAGCTTTCTCTTAACAATATAAAGTCCCTTGTGTTTTAAGGTGACATAAGACAGTGTGGGATGAGGATGCAAATGGAGGAATGAGGCTGGACTATAAAGGACCAGCTCTAGAACCCCGAGGATAATGAGAAAGACACGGAGCTACAGAGACAGACTAAAGGCCAGGTTTATGGCACTCAGTATGGAATTTGGGGTTTTAGTGCCTCCAAAATTCAGCCTCCCACAAGAAGTGTATATGCACTACTGTAGAAAGTGTGACATATAGAGACTTAGAAACATACGGAGAAAGTCCAGTGAAGAAGTATTTATTAATGGTCCATCAATAAAACTGATTAATGAAATTGTTTTATGTCCATACTGGTAGTGTAGGCGGTAGTGATGGTGATGTGCCGAGGAGCCAGTTCAACTTATAGCTACCCTGTACAGGGGTTCTAAAGCTGTAAATGTTTTCAGGAGTAGAAAGCCTTATCTTTCTCTTACGGAATGGCAGGTAGTTTTGAACTGCTGACTGTGAGGTTAGCAGCCTGACTTGTAACCACTACTCTACTTAGAGCTCCTTTGAACATAGAGAAGAAAATTCTCATTTAAACCAGGATTATATATGTTAAAAGTTCTTAAGTTGAATTATTTTGCCATAAGTCAGTCATTTTTAACTATCCCCCAAGTCAGCCTCTCAATATAGAGAGCAAGAAAACTTCTGCGATTCATAGGCTGGAGTAAAGAACTATAAAAACAAAAATAATGACATTCTTTCTTTCCCCTCTCACTCGCCTCATGCCTCCCTCCCTTCCTGTCTTCCTGTGAACACTCTACTCTAGTCATCCTCATTTTACAAATGAAGAAACTAAGACACAGAGAAATTAAGTAATTTGAAAAATTAGCAAATACAGGTGCTATGCTTTGACCCCCAGAAGCCTGCTACCTAAGCCCATGTTCTTCACATCCAAGCTGATAGGACTGACCCCGTGATTGACCGCCTAGAGCTGCGTTTGGTTGGTTTTCATTGACAGAGTGCAGTAAACCTACTACTGATTGTCTGCTTTTGTTGTTTCATCCTACTTTGGACCAGCCCTTAAATCACCTGAGTCTCCTGCTGTGACATACCTCCAGTGACATGCCTCTGCAGTAAAGATGTGCAGAGTGGGGAAGAGCAGGATAACTCAGTTGTACTTCTTGTCAGTTTGGCGCTGTCTGTTCTTTGAAATAGATATCTAAGAAAATGTATAAGCTTATCCAATTCTACATCACAGAAATTTGCAGATTAAAATGAATAAGTTGGGTAAAATAATTCCATTTTTGAAAAGATCTTGATGATCTGGAAGGATAGGCCAAACTAGCAAGATGCATTTTCACATGGTTAAATATGTGGTGGTGTGGCATTGTAGGATGAGCACTGAACTTCTAAACACAAGGTTGGCTGTTCAAACCCACCAGCCATTCTTTGAAAACCCTATACAAGTTTGCTGTCAGTAAGAACTAACTCATCAGCACTTAACTAATGTATAGTATTTTCATTTAGAAGCAGAAAAACAAAACAAAACAAAACATGATACTCGTACAGAATAGGAAAGAAAGATGGACTTTATTTTTATATTAATAAAATTTTGGAATTTTGTCTGGCTGAAAATTCTGTGAGAACTCAAGAGTCCATGTTGCCTTAAGGTACATTTTTAAGAGCACAGTCTCAGAACTCTGAATGAGCCACATTGTATTTGGAGTGCCTTGCTCACCTAGACTCCTGTGTGCTGCTGTGAGATCGGCACTGGACTGCAAACCTCAAGGTCAGCAGTTCAAACCCACCAGCTGCTCCTCGGAAACGCTATACAGGGTTGCTGTGAGTTGGAACTGACCTGAAGGCACTTAACAATAGCAGTGTTGACCTATAAACTCTGCATTTCAAGGACAAACAGGGATAAGTCTGAGGAGGGAGTCCTTAAAATTTCTTAAGATTCTACACTGGTCTGAGCACCGCACTGGGCATCACTGTACTATCTTACCAATGAGGAGATTCAGACGATGCTTAGGTTTCCCAAGAATATACAGGTAGGATTCTACTCAACTCTGACTCCAGGAACCATGCACTTTTCTCTGAATTATGCACAGTTGCCGTAGAGACGTCCACCAGTGAAAAGAAGACATAGGAGGAATGTGTTATCTGTCCTTAGAGGCTTCCGAGCCTGTGATATGGGTTGAGGTTAGATTTTATTCTGGATGGTTGGGTGGAACAGAAATAGAACCAGGAGGTGAGTTACAGGGAACTGGGTTTCAAATCTGATCCATAGTTGAACAGTCTGCTTTTGAGTAGCTTCATTTGTGAGGTACTGTGCTTTCCTGGACTGATAGTATTTGCGTCAAAACTGAAAGGCTGCTCAAAAAGAATGTTACTAGAATAAAAATAATTCTTTCCACCTAATGAATTTGGCAAGACAACCTTTAACAACGAAGAAAAATAAAACTTTAGTAACTACTACCACTTTCGTAACTATTAAATGAACATACAACAGAAGCCTGTATGACATTTTTCAAAGGAAATTAATACCTCCTAATTTATCAGTTTTAGAAATCAGATTTTACAGGCATTTATTATTCTAGGAGGAGAAAGTTGGTGAGTGTTCTTAAAGGCTGCTATCTAAAACAATAAAAATAGACCTTTATTAGTAATGGTTTAAAAGTAGAATACCTGTATTTTTCTAAGTTTCCTGTTACCCTAAATAATACATAATGTGGTTACCCTCAGATCCTGATTATTTTTCTCCTGTTGTCCTTATCCTCTGTTCTTTTTTTGTTTTTTTTTTTACCACCTTACTTACTAATTTTGTTTTGTTTGTGGGAGAAAAGCTTTATTAAGTCCCCAGTCCTAGATCTCTTTCTCCTACACAATCTTGGTTCACTGGAGCTTAGCAGCATGGTGAGTAACAGTGAGACCCACTTCACCACCAGCAGGGGCATCCCTCCTGCAGATGGTGGAGGGCTTTCCAATGTGTTGGTGGTTGCCGCCTTCAAAGAGATACTACACAGGGTTTATGGCCACACTCCACACACGAGGCCAGCAGTTCCTTTTGGCCTCGTGTTTAGGGTAGGCACCTACTACGGGTCTGTTAGCTGAGGAGGTGACCTTCTTGGAACGTAAGGGCAACTTCATGTGGCTTTTCTTGATCTCAGGGTTGTGGGAAATGACTGTGACATAGTTCCAGAGGCCCAAGCCAGCTTGGCCCAGTTTCTCCTGCAGACAGCACACGATAGGGAGAATACTTCTGATGGTGACCTCGACCTTCTTGTTGCAGTATGGAACTGGCCCGTGTGTATGCCCTCATCTGCGATGAACAGTTCTGTACGCTTGTTAAACTAGTACAGGTTCCAGAAGATCACCTTGGCAAGGGGTGCACTGCAGCCCAGGTGTAGATGAGGTCCTTCATGATGTGGCGGTGCTGCTCGGCAAAGTCCACAGCCCACAGTTGCAGAACACCTTTACGGTGTTTTGTGTGCGCTTGGGACACGAGGCTGACTCCCTTCCTCTGTCCCTGGCAGGTCTGCTTACGAGCGTAGCCGAACAAGCCTTAGTTACTAATTTTAATGTATGCAACACTTTGTAATACAAACTGAAGAACACTTCCTGAAGAACAAACCACTAAAGCAGTAGATGAGAGAGAAATTGTTAAGAGCAGAGACTTACAAATAACCATTAGATACCCAATTCGTCTTATTTTTATCAATATCCTATAAAATAAGTCTATAACAGGATTAAAGAAACACTAGTGGCACTGTAGGATGGTCACAGGACTGATAACCACCAGGTCAGCTGTTGGAACCCACCAGCTGCTATATGGGAGAAAGATGAGTCTGTCTGCTCCTGGAAAGATTTTGTGTCTTGAATCCTGTAAGGTGTTGCTGTGAGTTGGAATAGACTCATTGGACTCAGTGTTTGTTTTATAACATGACTGGATTCAAGAGATGGCTTTTTCAAACTCTCGTACTTGTTCAAGACATCTTAAGTATCCTTAGGCTCTGATGTATCTTCAGTGTCACTGGAGTGATGTGGAATGCCTCTTGTTGCCACAGAAACTCTTTGGGAATAGGGTTTCATCAGTTTGACCACCCACACTTCAACACCTAACTTTCCAAAATCAGACATGAGTTATTATTATAGTCATTTCTTCTAGAATTCACCTAGATTCTAATAAGGCAAGTGAAACTATTTTTAATTAAGTATTCAGTGTTCACAAAACTTAATATTGAGGAGTCTTGGTGGTACAGTGGTAAAATACTCAGCTGCAGTTTGGCCCATTGGCCACTCCATAGTGTACACTCACACATATGCACATGTATCTATTAATCTTCCTTTTACCAAAATCTGGTCATACTCGTCATGGTTTTGTAATTAATAGTTTTAATATAACAATATGTTTTTATCTTCTAATACAAGTTTCTGTTGAGTCCACTTCAACTGATGGCAACCCTATCTATATGTGTCCTAGTAGAGCTCTGCTCCATAGGGTTTTCAGTGACTGAGGTTTTGGAAATAGATAACCAGGCCTTTCTTCCAAAGCATCTCTAACTGGACTTGAACTTCCAACCTTTTGGTTAGCAGACCAGTATATTACCAATTAGCACTCCCCAGGGATGCCTATTTTCTTCTAATGCTAC